AATCCTTGACTCCATCCTGCATGAGGCTAATCCCTACCTCCCTATTTGCATGAGTTTAATCCTTGACTCCATCTTGCATGAGGCTAATCCTTGCCTCCCTATTTGCATGAGTTTAATCCTTGACTCCATACCTGCATGAGGCTAATCCCTGCCTCCCTATTTGCATGAGTCTAATCCTTGACTCCATCCTGCATAAGGCTAATCGCTGCCTCCCTATTTGCATGAGTCTAATCCTTGACTCCATCCTGCATGAGGCTAATCCCTACCTCCCTATTTGCATGAGTTTAATCCTTGACTCCATCTTGCATGAGGCTAATCCTTGCCTCCCTATTTGCATGAGTTTAATCCTTGACTCCATACCTGCATGAGGCTAATCCCTGCCTCCCTACTTGCATGAGGCTAATCCTTGCCTCTATACCTGGGTGAGGCTAATCCTTACCTCCATATCCGCATGGGTCTAAGCACTGTCCTTTTGCACAAATATTGCTCTATTTTACTATCTATTTGCTTTCTAATCGAGCTAAGCTCTGCCCTCCATTTCACAAGACTAATCATTGTCTTTATAACGCCATGACTATTGCACATCATGGGCTGAAACATTGCCAACTTGTCCAAAGGAGCCATAGTCTAAAGGCATCATCCTCATAGCCGGAAGACACCATGCCTGGCCTGAGGATCCCTCAAACTTGCATATCATTATTCAAAGGCGTCATGGTTCGGAGGCACCATTTTCATGGCCCGAGAACATCATTTCATGGCATGCGAATCCCTCACTAAACAATTCATGGCTCAGGACGTCATGGTCTAAGGATGTCATCTTTAATCGTCCAAATACAACCTTCATGGTCTAAAGGGAATCTGCATCATGTTTAAATTTTCGCAAATACGTTTGTAGCATCTTTTATCTGCAGGTAACCAGTAAGCCACCGCTATCCTAGCAGGAGCGATCTCGCTCCAGTTCCCTCCAACCGTCCCGAGCTTCAACCACTCACCGTAGCCGCTTTTGCATCGCGTGTTCGTTCTTGCAGTAATTTCATCGGCATACTCCGCTGATGAATCCAGAACTACACATGGACTCTTTCCTGTAAAACCAGGGATATGTAGGCAACTCGAAAACCGGAGTTCAACCTATGTCTTTCAAAATATCCCATCCGGTCAAAATTGGCCATCATTTCTTTACCCGAAAACTCTTTCATCCTTCCCGGGTAAAGAGGGGCAGTTGTTAATACCCAATTTTCCCTATATTTTTTTTATATATATGCATAAATACCTTCAAAATAGCATATATCTACATATATAAGCATGTATAAGGTTTTTATAATTTTTTGATAATTTTAAAGATTTTAAATTAATTTATTTCCTTCCATTTTATTCATAAAATCCCCAATAATTATCTTGCAAATTATTGTTGTGATGATTTAGTCATTTAATTTCTATATTTATGCCAAAATATGGTTAAAATATTTTTTATGCATTTTTACAATTGCATTTTGTATTTAAAAAAGCTAAATTGCATATAATTGCAATATTAGCTCCATTAATGTATAATTACATTTATTTGCGCAAAATTGATCTCCTATATTTTTAAAATATTAAATATCTATTTTTAATCATTTCAGTACACAAAATTATTTTCTAAAAATTATTTATTATTTATTATAAATTATATAGGAAAAAATTGGCTATTTAAAGTATAACCAGATTTACCTTTCAATTTCAGCCCAATTTAAACCCAACCCTAGCCCAATTTCTAACCAAAACACCCGACCCAAACACTAAACCCGCCTAACCCCACCTCATTTCCCAAATCCACCGCCTCTGTATTCTCTTATCTCATCTCCTCTCTCAACCCCTCAACCTAACCCTAGCTCCTTCAACTGCAAACTCCCTTCTCCGGTCTTCTCCGGTGATATCCCTTCAACTCCTAAGCCTCTAATGGATCCTCTATTGCCATGCTCGCCTTCTTTGAGGCCTTCAAGGGTCCTGGGCCATGCTGACTTGCATCTAGGGTTTGCCATCTGGTGTGTTCTTGGCTACTTCAGTATGATTTCAAGCGAAATCTTGTTGTACTTGTTACCATCTTGGGGATTTTAGACAGGTTCTTTCATCTTTACTTGAGTTTCTTCTAAAACCCTAATTTTTGCTTACATCTCCTAGATCTGTACGATTCTTAAATGATTTGAATCTGTTTCTTTGATGTTTTACACTCTCCTTGTAACTCTTTACAAGAATCATCGATTTCAAAGTGTTTTCACCTTTTTTTAAAATTAGGGTTTTCGGAACTTCTTCTAAAAACTTGTTTAAACCGATTATTTATGTTTAAATTTCTATCTCTTGCATATTTCGATTGATTCTATGATTTTACTACCTTTTCAACTTGCCTATGTTGAAAACCCTAATTTCTTAGTTCCAATCTTGGGTTTCTAAGTCTTGTTTTGATAGTGTGTTCGGTTAATCTATACGTTTATGTGTTCTGTGATTTTACCCTATGATTGTTTGCTAAGGTTCCTAATTATGGTTATCCCTGCCTATTGTGTGATTTTACCCTATTTTGTTCACCAATGTTTCTGATTCTTCACTTCTCCTGCCTGTATCATGCCTATTCTACTATTCTGACTATGCTCTTCATGAATCCCTAATTTATATATGATTTTGTCCTACTCGACCTCTTAGAGTTATGGTTTTTGCTTACATGTGCGTGTTCTTATAAAGTTGTGCTAAATCAGTGCTATTTTCTACTTGTGAATCCTTGAATATTTGTGATTGATCTTTCACTGATTTTGCATGATATTTCTGCTGATTTTTAACCTTGTAAAATATTTTATGAACTTATTCTATGGTCAATTATGCTATTAATTGATTTCTTAAGTCTTTTCCTTGATTGAAATATGTTGGACCTAGCCTCTATTACATGTTGTGTACTTGTACTATGCAGAAAATATTTCCTTATTTGTTATGCTCAGCCTTATACGATTTCCTTCCTTATTTGTCACATGTTTATTACCGTTTGAAGTTAACTTCTCAATTAAAGAGAGTACTTGCCTTGATTTCATAACTGATTGATTCTAAGTCCCCATAATTACTGATGAACTTTGATTTTTACCTTACTTGCTATATGCTTTCAACTATATATACCCCCTCTCTTATTAACACAAACACACGAACACTCTTGGTTCAAAAGCTCTCCCTCTCCCACTTAAACTTTCTGCTCTCTTTTTGTGCTACTTGCTACTATTCTAAGTTAGCCGGCCGCAAGCCAAGGCTAACCATTATGTTCTCCTGCTCCTTCACTTTTGTTTACTGTCTTCTCTACTGGTATGTTCTAGTTTCAATTCAAGTTCCAACAACATGATTCTTTTATTGTTTCAATTCATCCTGTTTCTAGTTTGCTTTTATCTATGGTTTTGTTGTGAGACTTGCAGTTAATATGCTTACATGATTAGCATGATATGAACTCCCCTTCCTTAGAATCAGTATAAACATATCCCCCCTCTATGTCTAATCAATTGTTTCTGAGCATGTCTGTACCAATCACCTTTGCCTGTTGTGTGCTGATCTTCATATGCTCCATGTACCCCAAATCCCTATCATCGGTGTATGTAAGTTTGTTCTTTATGTTTGGTATTGTGACTATGTCTGGTCAGTTGTGTCTGAGCATGTCTGTACCAATCCCGAAGACCTTGGCTTGTTATGTGTTTACAATCAAGTGTTATATGTATCCCCCAACCCCTTGACCCCTGTTTGTGACTACTGAACTTGCTTTGGTTCTTTGACCCCCGGCTGTGTATGAACCTATCTTAAAGGTGTTGTGTTTGGACTGTTGTTCACTACTCCACTCTCTTTTCAAACTGCCCTGTTGTTTTACTAAATTATTTCAAACAAACTTCCTTTTAAAAACCTTTCAACCTGTGTCAAGCACTCTCACTCTACTCCTAAGTCATTAAGTTCTGCCCCCTCCAGTATGTGTACTGCCTTGGGATCCTCTTGAAAACCCTCTGAACTCTGGCATACTGAATTTGGCCTTCCCACACTGCATTTTTCCAATTTTGGTTACCAAGTCTGGGTGCAAGCAATGCCCGGGATCCTTGAGATCCTTAGGGAACTTTAATGCACCTAGACTATGAATTTGTCTATGGAATTGAGGCATTTGAGGCTCTTCGGAAACTTGGGCCTATCTGTAGGCTCCCTATAGAATAACTTCTTATTTTCTTTATTTACTTATGTAATTCATTCATATGGCATGTAATAACTTGTAAACGAATATTGGGGTAATTAGTGAAAGGGGTGGGTAGCTATATGTTTATGGGGTAATACGAGTAGAAATCATGTTTATAGGACTTTACATTTTGATCCGATTGCCTTACCAGGTAGAAATCATGCTTATAGGATTTTACATCTTGTCATGTTTATCTCACCATGTTAGAAACCATGCCTATAGGTTTCAATATTCCGTAATAGAAATCATGTTTACAAGTCTTAAAATCAGCTTCACAAATAGATGCCATGCCTATATGATATAATTTAATCCAAATTTTGCTATGACAAGTGTTTACATGTGTTCATGCCCGCAAGTTTCTAAAATCAGTATTCAACTAGATATCATGCATATAGGAGATAACACCAGAAATTCTGCCTGTCAATCTGAACTAGTTCGGTTTAAATAAACTAACAATTAGCTCACTTCTGAATTAGCTTAATTAGTGATTTATGTTTCCTGAAATGAGTTCTTTAAAAACTGCCTTAATTTGTTACTCCCTCCGTTCCAATTTATGTGAACCTGTTTGACTGGGCGCGAAGTTTAATATTTAGGGGAAGACTTTGGCCATGTCACTTAAATCTGTAGCAAGTGACAAAAATACCCTTAAAGGCCCACTGATTACCTTTTACGTGGAAAACACAGTAAAAAGAAATAAACAGTCAGAACACTCCAACGCGTCCCATTTCTTCTTACACATTAATTGAGGTGTCCTTTTCCCCGTACTTTACTCCTATATCAGCTTTAAGCTTTAGTTTCAAAGTCATAAATTAGTCTCCTTTTTTCCCTTCTCTATTTCACATTCTTGTATCAGAAAAATTAGATTTCTTCTTTCATCTCTCTCTAGCTTACTCGAAAGAACCAATTTTCAATTTGTTGAAGAATAGGGTTCTTTTATGGATCTCTCTGCAAACCAGGTTTGATGTGATGGTTTTTCTTTTTAAAAAAGTTTGTTACCTGAAAATTAGCCGCTGCTATTTCGGATAATTGAAATGATGGCGGTAAATTTTTTCTTTGTTTGTGGCGCCAAACAAATTTTTAGTTTAAGTGAAAAGCTTATGTGTCTAAATAGATTATTGCTTCTCTTTGACATTTACCCTTATTTTTCACTGTTGCATATGGAATAAAAAAAACATGAGTGATTCACAATCAAATTTAGCTACTCCTAATACAAAGAGACGACTAAAAATAGAGGAACGTCAAGCAATTGCGGAATGGCTTTTAAAAGCAAAAATGGAGGTGCTACTTATGGCTCTATAAAGCAAGCAACTATTCTGTTCCACGCTTCAAAGAGTACTGTGCGACGAATTTGGAATCAAAAAAAATTGTGTTGCTAACGGCACTACATTAGATGTGTCTACTAATCTTGCAGGAAGAGTTGGAAGAAAGCGAGTTCACTTTGACCTTAATCTGGTCAAGGAAGCTCTTCTTTGTCGCCGAACAAATATTCCATCTTTGGCTTGTGTTGTGGATATGGCAACAACAACGGTCTTTCGGCGTATCAAAGAAGGAGTCATCAGGTCACATACCAATGCCATAAAACCTTATTTGACGGAGGAAAACAAAAGGGCAAGGCTTCAATTTTGCTTGTCAATGATCGAGTCCGGTACACTTCATTCAAATCCTTTATTTTTAGACATGTTTAATTTTGTTCATATCGACGAGAAATGGTTTTTTCTATCCAAAAAATCTGAACGATACTATCTTCTCCCTGAAGAACAAGAGCCGAACCCATATAGAGCATGCAAAAGTAAGAATTTCATAACGAAAGTTATGTTTATGGCTGCAGTTGCACGCCCTAGGTATGATGAAGATGGAGTTGAATATTTTTCGGGGAAAATAGGAATTTTCCCTTTTGTTATCAAGGAGCCAGCAAGAAGAAATAGCAAAAATCGAGTTGTTGGAACTTTGGAAACGAAACCTATTTTATCTGTCACTAAAGATGTGACTAGAACTTGTTTAATTGAAAAGGTTCTTCCTGCCATTCGATCAAAGTGGCCACTTTCACGGTCAAATGGCCCTATTTTTATCCAACAAGATAATGCAAGACCTCACCTAGGTGTTAATGACGTGGAATTTAATGAGGCTACTCGACAAGGTGGATTCGATATTAGGCTATGCTTTCAACCTCCTAATAGTCCGGATCTAAATGTTTTGGACCTCTGATTTTCTAGAGCTATTCAATCACTTCAGCATCAAAGGGCTCCTTCAACGCATCAAAGGGCTCCTTCAACTATTGATGAGTTAATAAATGCCGTTGAGAGTTCTTTTAATGAGATGAAAGTTGATCGATTAAATCACGTGTTTCTAACTCTACAGTCTTGTATGGTTGAAGTGACGAAGGACAAAGGAGGGAACAACTACAAGGTGCCACATATGAAAAAGGACACACTAGAACGAGAGGGAAATCTTCCTGTTCGAGTTAGTTGTAACATTGACATTGTTAATCAAGCTATATCTCTGATTCAAAGTTGATATGCATATCGTCAAGGTTATCTACAACTTGGGAAGTTTGTTCGTGTTTTGTGGTTTTGCCCATCATGTAGCTTTGTGTAACTTCTGTTTTTGTACAGATTTGCTTATTTAAAAAGCAGCAGTCAACATTAAGCCTGTAATATTTGTATAACCTCTCTCCTTGTAATGGCTCATGTATTTAAAGAAATTATACATATTAAGTTAAAGTGTATCTAAAATTATGCATATTAAGTTAAAGTGTATCTTTGGTAATCTGTTGGTTGGCACTTTGGTATGGTTTTTTATTTGTTGAAATTATTGGTACGTTAAAGGTTTTGAAGACTTGCGACAAATTAAATAAATTTAAAATTTTCTAAAATTATTTTGCAAGAAATATTTTTAATGTTCTAACAGTCAATTAGGATGAAAATGGAGTTATTAAGAAATTTACAAATGACTGAAGGAAAAAAAATAAAGAAGAAATTTACTTGCAATAAGAAAGATCCAGGGAAACGTAAATGAAAATTTTGCCAAAGCGAAGAAGAATAGAAAATTGGAAAAGCCACGAATCAAATCAAACATGAAAAAGTTTGACACCTGTGCACAACTTTTTAAACATTGACTTTTCAACTTAATAAAAAATTCATAAATTGCTGTGACTTTTAAATCCAGTGGGTCCAGATCAGCGTTTGAAAGAAACGATAGTAAGGGTAATACGGGAATGCTAAAGTTAAATTGTTACCCAATTTAGAAAGGGTTCATTCTTTTTGGAACGGACCAAAAAGGAAATAAGTTCACATAAACTGGAACGGAGGGAATATTAGATAGCATGCCTATTGATAAGTTAGGATTTTAACATGTATTATGCCCCTACTTGCCTATGCTTTGATCATATATTGTTACAAAATAGTCCTAAAAGGCTTACAAGTTGTGGTTGATCGCAGGTTTGATCGACAAAGTGACGAAATGTCAAAGATCGGCTCAAAAAGGAGTGAAACTTGCTCAAGTATCAAAGACCAAGAAATATTGAGAAAAGAAGGCCTAGTGCGGACCACGCAAAGTGGAATGCGGCCACACTAGGTGGTTCAGAGAGTTGGTGAATCAGGACTAGAAGAAGCGCGGCCGCGGTACACATCTCGCGGTCCGTGATGAAGGTTCCGCGGCCGCACTACTCTTTTGTGTGGTCCGCGGTCATGAGGTTCAGAGAGATTGAGTTTGCAAAGCCAGTGTCATGCGGTTCGCGGTCATGGTTGCGCGGACCACGCCAGCTCCCTCCGCGGCCGCGGTCTATTCTATGCGGTCCGCGGTGTCCAAGTTCAGAGAAGCAGAAGGAAGCCCAGTGCGGCCGCGGTCCATTTAATGCGGCCCGCACTGACCCCGCAGGAGTATTTTTGTCCAGTTTTTCTAGCCTAGTATAAATAGAACATTTACCATTTTTTAGGTATTGAGACATATCAAACAACAGTTGCGCTCGTGAAAACGAATTTTGTAGCCATTTTGGCACATTTGCTTTATATTTACGATAGATTCTTGTATTTTAATTTTAGCAATTAATTAATATGCTTAGTTCTTCATCTGTTTCTTCAATTTCTTTATCTAGCATGAGTAGCTAAACCCATTAGCTAGGGTTGTGGCTCAATCCTAGTGTGGATAATTGATGGGTGTTGCTATCTAGTGTTAGATTGACTATGGGTGTTTGCTATTTGGGTTGATTTTATGTTTAATTCTAGAATTGGTGGTTGCAAACACTGATTCAAGCTTTGTGGGTTTAACTCTTCTTAAGAAAGAGAGTCTATAACCCCAAAATTGACCCAACAAGGAATTGGGATGGACTCATGAGAAATGATAGTCTCAATTAACGGGTTAAACCTCGAGAGAGTAATTACCCTACTTGAACCCTAGTTGCTTGGTCTAATTTGCCTACCCATTTGGTATAGAGAGAGTCAATTGGGCAAAGTCGCTTTCTCTACCGAGAGGTGTGAGAGTGGGTAAAATTGTGCAACGGTTATAGCATAAGCCTCAATTATGTCAATCGAACCTTAGTAACATCTACCCGTCAATTATCCACCTAGGTAGTGTCAGGACCCTAGTGCCCTTCTTCCCATTAGATACAACTCAACAATATTCTCGTAGCATAATTTAGTGTTAATTAATAGTTTTACAAAAATAGTTATAATTTGAAAACACAAAAATGTTTGAAGTGACATTAGGAGTACAAACACATCTTTAGGATAGACAGACAATCCAACTCCACTACTAGCTCCCTGAGGAATTCGATCCCGACCTTCATATCGGGTAAAAGCTATTGCGACCCGCTCCTCCTACCTTAGTGTAGCGTTGAGTTGGTAGTGATCACTTTTTGGCGCCGTGCTGGGGATGCTTACAGTGTTGACTATCTGTTTATTTAGTTTTGTGTTTTGTTTCTCTTTCCTTCGTGTTTACTAATTTTGTTTGTGTCGATCAATCAGGTACAAATGGCTCTTAATGCAAATGACCCTCTCGGCAATGTTATAGCGGGGGAGGACGTAGATGATCTAGAACAAGATGAGGTCTTACCTCAAGTTCCACGGAGACGCCAAAATGCCAATGTAAATGCAAATGAGAACAACAATATTCCAGACCCTCCTCCGGCACCGCCGAGAGTGGCTCCCAGAGTTTTACCAAATCAAGGATACGCCAGTGCTATTGTTCCTCCCCGAATTCGGGCGGGGAACTTTCAAATCACAAATGTTATATTGACCTTGCTCGAGCAAAGAGGGTATTTCACAGGCGCCTCCGATCAAAATGCCTATGAGCACTTGAAGGGGTTCATGGATACATGTTGGTGTAGTAAGCAGACAAACATGTCCGAGGATGCGTTGAGATTGAGGCTTTTCCCGTTCTCTCTTCGGGGTAAAGCATTGGATTGGTTAGAAAGGCTCCCCAATCATTCTATCACAATATGGGATGAATTGGCGGATAAATTTATTGCCAAGTTCTTTTCTCCAAGTCATATGGCGGCTCTTCGGGATGAAATTCTAGCATTCAAGCAGGAGCCAACAGAACCTTTGCACGAGATATGGGAAAGATATAGAACAATAGTGAAAGAGTGCCCTAATAACGACATGACCGAGGCTATGATTCAACAAACCTTTTATCGGGGCATCAACACCACGAATCAATGCATTGTGAACCAATTGGCTGGAGGGAACTTTATGAAACTTTCTTACCAAGAGGCATGTGATGTACTTGATGAAATGGCCGACACCTCTTCGGCATGGCAAAGCCGAGCAAATGTGCCCCAAGGTGACCCTACGGTCATCCATTTGCACAAGAAATTGCACGATCATGGCCAAGCTATTGCCGAGCTTACAACAACTATGAATCAATTGGCAAGGGCACAATTGCAACTAGTCCAAAACCCGCGCCAAGTCAATGCAATGGAAGGTGTTTCTATATTGAAAAGGAGGCAAAGAAGGCAACATCCTCAAGGTAATTGTGAACAATATGACAACAACAATGATGGTGGTGGTTATTCAAATGAGTGCTATGATGATCAAAGCGAAGAGGTCCAATATGTCAATAACTACCAAGGTAATAGAGGCAACTCTTCGAATCAACAATGGAGTCCTCAAGGAAATTGGGGTAATCAACAACAAGGGGGAGGTAATTGGAATAACAACAATCAACAACAAGGTGGTGGCAATTGGAATAATAACAACCAAAATAACAATTGGGGTAATCAAAGCAACAAGGGAGTTGGAATGGTAATAATAATAATTGGAGCAACAACAACAATCAAGGAGGGTGGAACAATAGCGGGAACCAAGGCAACCGGGGGCAATGCTTTCAAAGGCCCCCCATATACCAACAACCGAACAATCCACCCCCTTTCCTTCTCAAGATCCGAGTTCTTCCGGGAGTGATATGGGGAGAATTGAAAACATGTTCGAGCAAACTATGAAAAAGAACCAAGATTCCGATGCCCAATTAGCTTCTCATAATACATCTATCCGGAACTTGGAGGTGCAATTAGGACAAATCTCTCAAACGTTGAATACTCATCCCAAGGGTACGCTACCAAGTGATACGGTAGTGAATCTGAAGGGTGGGAATAATAATCATGTGATGGCGGTTACAATAAGAAGTGGGAGAGGCGGTGATGTGAATGCCTCAAAGCAAAAGCAAGTTATGGATGAAGATGTTGAGTTGCGGGATAATGACGTACCTTTGATTGTTGATGATATGGTTAACCAAAATGTGAACAATGATGTGCGGATTGATATTGATGATGAAGCCGAGGTAGAGACTCAAGATGTCGTGAACCCGTCTAGGGAGCACGTGATTGACATGCCCGAGCCGGTTGTACCAAAGGCCAAGGCACCTTTGCCTAGGCCACCTCCAGCTTATCCTCAATGGTTAGCAAAGCAAAAGAGTGACAATCAATTCAAAAAGTTCATTGACATGATGAAGAGCCTCACAATCAATGTGCTCTTTGGTAGAGGCACTTGAGCAAATGCCGGGGTACGCTAAGTTCATGAAAGATTTGGTAACAAAGATGAGGTCGATGGAGTGTGAAACAATTAAAATGACTCATCAAGTGAGTTCCATAGTGCATTCAATGGCACCCAAGCTTGAGGACCCTGGAGGTTTTACTATCCCTTGTACTATCAGAAGTGCGGATTTTGCCAAGGCCCTTTGTGACTTGGGGGCTAGCATAAATTTGATGTCGTACTTGGTCTTCAAGACTTTGGGAATTGGACAACCTCGACCTACCTTAATGAGACTTCAAATGGAGGATCGTTCGATGAAGTGACCTTTGGGCATAATCGATGATGTACTTGTCCAGGTGGATAAGTTTATATTGCCAGCCGACTTTGTCATATTGGATTGTGAGGTGGACTTTGAAGTGCCGATTATTCTTGGTAGACCCTTCCTAGCTACGGTGAAGGCATTGGTTGATGTTGAAGCGGGTGAGTTGACTTTCCGAGTGGGGGATAAGAAGGTAGTATTCCATATTTGCAAATCAATGAGACAACTTAATAGCACGGAAGTGTGTTCTTTTGTAGACATTGTTACAGCTGTGATAGTGGATGACACAAGTTCCATAATCCATGTTGAAGATCCCCTTGAGGCCGTGCTTCTTAATATGGATGTCAATGATGATTCTAGTAGAGTGGAGTGCGTGAATGCATTGCATGGTATGGGTTCATATTTATATGAGCCTAGGAGGCTATCTTTGGATCTTGAA